TGAAGCAGGAGGTTTGGTATGTGAGAAAAATCCAAATATAAAATCCACATATAATTCTTAGTGATTATGTTGCACAACCCTGCTGGCATTTGTTGCCACCCGAGGTTTTCTATTTTTAAATTTTGTCACTATTAGGATGTGGGAGAGATGAAAGGATTTTAATCATCCAAAGCAAGGGATTCACTTTAATGGGAAAAAGGTGATTTGCAAATCAGCAAATGTGCAGTTAAATATGAAATCATTTAAATCTGTTCCCTTGATTTTATTTCTGGTTGATGGATGTAACACCGTAGTTTTCTCTGTAAAGTGAATCCCTTAGTTTAGCTTCACTTCAGAGTAACTAAATCCACAATGAATTACTTTTGGCGAGCTGTATTGATGAATTTGGCACTGAAAATTGTTGTTTGAAATGTTGTGAGAATGAAACTAGTATAATTAAGTTTACCATTTACTTATCTACGTGCCTATCTTTGTGACCCTACTTATCTTTGATAATTGGATACATAGGATTCCAATGCCTGTCAAACATACTGTGGCACAAACCTGTAAGGGGTCAAAACTAAACTTCCAGTTATTTTGGTTTCCATTACCTTTCACCAGGTTTGCCTGTGCACAAATCCTGTTTGGCTTGTAAAGACAAGATTGCAGCTTCAAAGTCCACTTCATCAGACGCGACCATACTCTGGGCTTTATGGTCTGCTCTCCATTTTAAATTAACTTTATTTGGAACTGTTTATATTTTATAGCATCCATATTTTCACTTTGGCTCTAGATGTTATGCTAGAAATAATTACATAGCTTAATTATTATCTTTTTTTATAAGATGCTTCTTCATTTTAGTCACCTCACCCTAAATTGAATTTGAAATTAGTATCCAAAAGTTGAAAGAAAGGTCATTTTCTCTGAGTAGTTCCATCTGAGGCTCGGTATTTAACTGAGCATTTATCTCACCCAAAAATGGTCTTGGTTGTGTGGCAGTTTTTATATCACCACTATATGGGCATTCAGTAATTCAATACCTACCAGGATTAACTATTGAACTTTTGCATTCATCCTATTTGTTTCATTGCATAGTCTTGTATGATGTTAATTTTCGGACGGGTTAAAAAACTAGTTTTAACTTTTATTTGTAGATTATTTCAGTTGTTTTGAGAAAGGAACAATCAAGATGCAAGATTTAGGTTCATAAGTTGACCTTATTCTTTTTCTTTTTGATCTGGGGACCAGGGCGATTATGTTTCGCTCAATGAGAAAGGCTAGTAATACAATTTTTCTAACTATCTCTTTTGAACAAACCCCCTTCTATTGGCTGATTTTATTCGAAAATCACAATTTTTTGTGAGTTCTATTTTGTAGTTCCTGATGAAGCCGATAGTTTAAAGTGTGTTAGAGTTTTGGTAGCACTCCTCTTAACTCATCTACCTAAAACATTGTAGTGAATATATATTTTGTTTATTGTGGTTATGTCTTCGCCATATGAATTGCTAACAAGGAAGGAAAACAATTTACCTGTCAAAAATAAATAATAAATGCATTTAGAACCATAATGAGCGAGGAAGGATTTAGTGCACTTTACCGAGTGATTGTTCCAGGTCTATTCTGGTGTGTTGCTGTTTCTTGTTATTTTACTTATCAATCTTGGCACTTAAAATTTTAATCGAATTGAATATATGTAGGTAACTATCCTGCATAAAGATAAAAGGTCTTATTTGCCCAAATTGATTCTAGGTTCAGATCTATAATCAACATTGAGCCATTTGCAAGTATCCACTATGAACTCTTTAATCTGTCAATTGGACACACAGACTATCAGAAACAACACAATTCATCTTTCAGTTTAATAACTACAAGTTACTAAAAGAATGTGTTTGCCATATGATTGTCATGCGATCACTGCATATGTTAACATATTTTGTTTATTATAGTTGTATTCATCAATATATGATTTTCTATCTAGTCATGGAATTTGATTTTATTAATATTAACTATCAGATGCATTTAGGACCATAACGAGGGAAGAGGGATTTAGTGCACTTTACAGAGGCATTGTTCCTGGTCTATTGCTGGTATGTTGCTGACTCTTTATTTTACCTGTCAATCTTGACACTTGGAATTTAGTTTTAGATTAAATATAATGTGGTATTGTGCTTTGCAATTTATAGTGGACATCACATCCATTGCATAGCCACTATGAACTCTTGAACCTCTCCAATTAATATTATACAATACTAAAAACATCACAACAGATCCTTGATCCTTTGGTGTGGTTAAGTTATCAAGGAATGTGTTTATGGTGTGATTGTTACATGATCATAAACTCATGTCAGCGATTGATTTGCTCATGTAATCTCCACCATTCGCACATATTCTGTGTTAGGAAATGATTAAAATTTGTTCAATGGAATATCCCTTTGTCCTTCTTCTCCCCCTCCCCACTTTTTCCGTGCTGTGTGACAGTATGGTGGGAATTATTCAGACAAAAAAGTCAAAATGATGAATGAATTTGGAATCTTTTTACCTTCACCTTCATGGCAACTTGTGATACGTGGTATTCTTGAGAGTGGGTACTATTTTTCTAAAGGTTGTTGAACTTTGAAGTTATAGAGATTAGTGGGGTGGGGGTTTGACAAAGCAACATTCAAAATTTTCATTTGGGACTAAAATTGCAATTAAAATAAAAGGGTATTACTTAATGCATTATTAGGTTACTACTTTTCTCTAGGGTGTGAAAGGGGAAATTTGAAAATTATGATGGCTATATCAATTATCAAGTATTAACAGAAGTTTCAATCAAACATAGAATTGTCTTTCTATGCTTTATAATGAACTTATTTGAATTTATATGTTGCAGCAGGTCTCTCATGGTGCTATTCAGTTCACAGCATACGAGGAGCTCCGTAAAGTTATTATTGATTTTAAGAGTAAGAGAAGTACATTCCATAATCAAAATCCTGATAAATTGTTGGTAAGTTAGAGGAACTTGGGTCGATTTAACTCTTGAATTTACATGTATTGGACTATTCACATTTCTCAAATGATTTCTTGAGGTTTGACCTTTTCTGCCACTTGTATTACTCTCCAAGTCATGCTCCTATAATCATTGCTCTAGTAGTTTGGTTGAGCCAAATGATGCATCTCAAGAATCACGACTCTGATTGTTGCCTGCATTTAAGTAGTGGATGCCTCAGTTAGCTTTTATTTACTGTTTTCAATTGGCTTGGTACGATCGAGGGACATTTTAAATGGGAGAAATGTAGCTTTATGCATATCCTAATTTTTTTTTTGTTCCACGTTTATAGCTTTATACGACACGTTTGGGTTTGGTACATTTAGCTTCCTGCTATCTGATGTTTACAGATGATTTCAATTGAGTTTGTGTTGGCAATTCATAAATATTCTATCCAAAACTTTCAGTTGTGACGTTTTAACATTGTATTATTTTTCCCAGAATTCTGTTGATTATGCTGTTCTTGGAGCAACATCAAAACTGGCTGCAATACTGCTAACCTATCCATTTCAGGTACAACTGTCTGTCTCCTCTCTTTTGAACGAGAATTCTAGCTTCATTCTTTATTATTGAAGAATTTTCTTTCTTCTGAATCATGCTCCCCCCCTTCCCATTATTTCAGGTTATGCGGTCTCGCTTGCAGGTACAAGAATGTCATTAAAAAGATATAAATATTACTTATTCATTTTGTTTTAACTGGCATCACTACATCTTTATCTGATCTGGACTGAAATATCTGTCTCTGCAGCAACGACCTAGTGGTGACGGGGTCCCAAGATATATGGATACTTGGCATGTTGTGAAAGAAACTGCACGGTAAATCACTACATATTGAAAACCCATCCAGATTTAGCTCACATCTTTATATTGACAAATATGCAAAGGTGAAACTAGAAAGGAATCGTAAGTATTATTGGTGATTGAGATTAACATATTTCTTATATACCTTGGCAAATGGCATACACAATAGGTTGACTCTTGGTGACGTGCTGTCAATGAATTGTAAAGACTACATTGACACTCTTGTTTTTACCCGAATTATGCAAAAAAAAAATGCTCTTGATCATTTCAAATTTAGTTATTGTTTTGCCTTGATGGATTTTGTTCTGTTCTTGCAGATTTGAAGGTATCCGGGGTTTTTACAAAGGAATTACCGCCAACCTCTTGAAAAATGCTCCTGCTTCTTCAATAACATTTATTGTTTATGAAAATGTTTTAAAATTTCTTAAACCGACTATAAGGAATGACTGAGTATTTCATTTTCTATCAGGATTTTCTTTTATCCTTATTGTTGTTTAATATCCTCTTAATTGATATTTGTAGCAATGGGTATTTATAATTTGTCCTATCATTTTTTTCTTGATGGGATTCTACAGAGTAACAATGTAGATGCAATTTCCCGAGATAAAATTCATGGCTGCTTTTATATCCGTGTTTCCATGCTAACAAGTTTTCTGTTATTTTGCTCCCAGAGTTCTAGGACTTGAAATTACCTTCTATGGGCAAAAGCTTGCAGGTCACTTCAACCTGTGGGAGAAATATTTCGTTTCATTGAACATAATTACTTACAATTACTAAAACTAAGTCATGCAATATATAACTGTTTCCATTTAAAATATGTTTCTTTCACATTGCCTTCTACTGTGATTTCTGCTATCGTATCGTTTTATGCTTCCAACTGTACTTCTTACGACGCCTTTCGTTACTGGATTATTGTAAACAAAAATAGCCGTGTTCATGAAATCTTTTATTTAAATAAAAATCTATGTACGTAAGAAACAAAACATAGATAAGACGACCATTTTCGTAGGGGACCGTTTGTAGGTAATATTAAAAGTTCATAATCTAAAGGTAGAAAACAAAGTAAATCTAAACCACTTGCACGCATTTGACTGTTTGCAAGCAAAAATTGACTCGGCTGTAATCTATCATAGAAGTCAATCTGCTCGAGTTTCGTACACTCTTTTCTATTAACACCAGGTCCCTAAATATCTGGAAGTATTATTAAGCTTAATTTATACTCCCTGTAGAATTACTAAATCTATTCAAAGTCTATTTAGTTGTTCATTAATGGCATTGCTCACCTTTACTCCTATAAATTATGGACTTTTTAAATGGATGATTTGTTTGCCTTTCTCTTACAGAAACCCACAATTCTAGTTACGTAAAATTGTAAATAATTAACAATGGAAATCCAGGAGTTTTTTTTTAACAAACAACAATATAAATAGCTAAAAATACACCAAAAAAATAAAAGGTACATAAATCGGCAACGTTATATGGAAGCATTAGGGGGAAATTTACGGATGAAGGAAAGGATTTCGTCCGAAATTTGTTGGGCTTTTTCTTGATGGATAAAATGGTGGCCGTCTATAATAACAACTTCAAGGTTGGGAACAAGACTCTTGAAAATACCACTTTCCACTAAAGCCTTTGTCCCAAATGTTTCAAGATCAAAAGCCATGTCTTTGTTTCCTGCTATGAACTTCGTTGGAACTGTTACCTTTGATCCTTGCCATGGTGCAAGAAGCTCCCAGTTTCTGTAACCATAGACCATCAGCGTAAGTAAAAAGGTGAGTTCTTTCACTAACAAATAACATCTGTCGGATTTTATTTTTACTCTATGTCGCGTGTGTGAGAAGCATCATATAAGAAGAATGGTTTATGATAAGATTAAATAGTTTATGCTTAGCTCAGAAGTCAACTTAATTTAAATTTATCTTTGTCAAATTAAATTGTTGGAAATATAATATAAAATTGGCCCACAACTTATATACAATTTTATAAGTGCTATCAGCCGCCAAAAAAAGAGTTTATTTCCAAGTTTGACTATAGTAGAGAATTCAAAGTTGCATTGTGTACTTCTCAAGGAATTGAATTATTATGTTTTAAAATTAAGCAAGAAAAGCTGTGATGAAAATACTTACAAGTCCATTGCACGGTAATAATTGAGTGGACCAGTAAAACCTGATTCTTGGAATTTGTCTGCAAAAACCGTGAGTTCTTCCTCAGTTATCCATGATGGCATAACAGAAGGTGTTGGCAGGAAATCAATTAGCTCCATGCCTTCTGGAGATGCTAGAAAATCTGTTTGTATCATCAGAATAAACTTCTTCATCACTGTCAGATAATCATATCTAGCAAAAGCTCTCTCTGCTCTGCCTGGTTCCTGCATACCCAACTCAACAAATAAATCACATCATCATGTACATAACTAAAAGAAATTCAGGCAAGCACAAATCGTAGATTTGTCATAAAATTCATGTTTTTAAATACATAAAAATGTCAAAACAAACTGCAAGTAAAGGGAACCTGGAACTGGCAGACATGACTCTGATCTCCAAATAATTTTCTCATAGTTTCAACCGGTTTACTGGTGGGTGATCTTGGGTGGTAAGGAACACCCAAAACAACAAATCCTTTTACTCTGTCAGGTCTAAACAGACTCAGATACCATCCAATTGCTGATCCCCAATCAGATCCAACGACAAATGCCTGTATTGTTCAAGTGGGTGAAAAACAGAAAGAACAAGACATAAAAAGGAAGCATGATCATGTATATATATACTCACACAAAAAATGTATACAAGTTTAGAAAGAAAGAAAAAGAAATGAGAAAATTTTGATACCTGTTGTTCACCAAAATGGTCAAGCAAAGCTATAAGGTCACCTACAAGGTGGTGACAAGTGTAGGAAGTAGGTTCAATAGGAGAATCAGAGTCACCATAGCCTCTTAGATCAGGTGCAACTGCATGATAGCCATGTTGGGCCAAGTAATTGATCTGGTGGCGCCAGGCATACCATAGTTCTGGGAAGCCATGAAGCAGAAGAACAAGTGGGCCTGTTCCTTTCTCTGCCACATGTAACCATATCCCGTTGGCTTTGATTCTTTGGTGTTTCACTTCATTCACCAACTCTAAGTGCTCCATAACCTTCGAGGATCAAATCAACCAAAGTACGATGTTCCTTAAGAATGAATGAAGAAGATGAAACATGTCTTCAAGACACTCTTAAATGTCATGCCTTGGGTCAAACCCCAACTCTGACTTGTTAACCACAACATTTCTGTCTATTCCCTGTACACCGTATTAAATAAATCATAAAAGATTAACCAATCTACCCTACACTCATTAACAACATTTTCTCGTTATAAGATGCACTACATCAATTATACCATAAAAGAAACATTTAGAAAATCAAACGAGTTATACTTCCTTTCTATATTAAAAATAACTCATGCTCTGAATTATGATTTTAGAAAAATATGTTATAAATATTTATTGTACTAGTAGGGACCGGACATATATGGACCGGACGTCCGTATGGCCGCATACCATTAGGGACCGGTTATCATATTGACCGGACCTGTGTGTACCAATAGGGATCGGACAAAGTGTGGACGTCCGCATGGCCAGTAATTATCCAATTACGCGATTTTACCGCTCATGACCTGGATGAACAACAAATCATGTGTGTCGGTCGGCTGTAAAACCAAATATCAGGAGGCTGACCGGCCCAACTGCCAGTTGACCAGATTAAGATTAAGATTAAGGTAAGTAGCTGCTAATAGTTATTGGGCCGAAGTTGGGTCGTAATTAACCTTTCACTAATCCCAAACCCATAACAAAAACTATGAATACAAGACAAAGGTGAGTGATAAGGGGGTTCATTTATTGCATATTTATTACTGTACTATTGAAAACGCCATCGCTCTCAAACTGACTTTAGCATCGGAGAATCTTTGACAGGTCTCCTCCCACCCGCAGGCAGAAGAGTAGAAGGAAGAGTAGACAGCAGACCGATGGCAAAGAGAGACGTGGAGGTGATAGACGACTCAGCCCCTACAACCGAAACATTTATCATTCCAATTTTCTTCACCTACAGTTTTTTTAAAAATTTTAAATGTTTGAAATCTTAATTATTTTAAATTTTTAAGTGTTTTATATTTTGTTTTTGGATAAATTAATTTAAATTTCTTAGAATTTAAATTCTGCATCTGAGTTTAATGTAATTTATTTATTTTTATCTAAAGATATTAATGAAGATAAATATTTATTTTTTATATTGTGAAAAAAATATACATTTGAAAACTAATTTCGTAATGTTGTTTTTATTAAATTAATAATTAAAAATCGAATGACCAAAATATAAAAAGTGGAGGAGAAAAAATAAGGGAGAAAGAGGACAGGAGAGAGAGAGAAAGAGGGAGAGAGTGGAGAAAGAGAGAATAAAGAAAGGGACTAGATAGAGGAAAAAGATATGTGAGAAAAATAGAGCCAGAGATGGAGAAAACTAAAATACAGGAGATAAAGAGACGATAAAAAAAAATAAAGAATTTTCGAGATTCGATCTTCTTTGTTTCGAATTTTCATATCGATACATATACATATTCATATGAATTTTAAATTTTTCATAAATTTTTATATCAATTTAAAATATTTTTTTATTAAATTAAATAAATTCATACAAATTATTTTATACAAAAATAAAAGAAATAAAAAACTAATATAATAAATTTAACATTTATAATTAAATTATAACATAAAAAACTAATACAATTAATTAAACAAGTAATCTATTAAACTTAACAAAACTAAATTAAACATTTACAAATTATCAAATTAAACATTTTAAAGTAATGTAATAAATATATAATATAATTAAACATTAAAAAAAATCTTCATAATATCGACATGATAATTTGAAAATCATAATATTAAATATTAAATTATGATTTTTTTTATCTGATATCAAAATCCGAGAAGAATCAGGGTTGTGATTTTTAGATTTTCATATTTAATACATTTTTTTTACTCTTTGATTTGCTCTTCGTTAGAGGTTGAGATTCGATTCACCTTCTATCGCATATTAAAATTTAATTTCTTTTATTGAATTTTGACATCCAATTGAATTCCTTATTCATCAAATTTTCATATTTGACTATAATATATTTTATTATAAATTCATATACGTGTTTTTATGCGAGAATTTTCAAAAAATACTCTTCCAGTTCGAATGTCAACCACCAACAACACAACTACCTTCAGTTGCCTCAAACTACCATTTCTAGTTGCCTACAACATCAACAAAAACCTCAAACTACTATCGAATGTCAACAATCAATGCATCACTCAAATCTTCAAACATTCCTCAAAAAATTTAATGCACAACAAGCTCATTAACTAAGAGAATATTTCCAAAAATTGAGGATATAAAGTAAACCCTTGAAGGTGCATAGAAAAATGTCCTTTAAAAGAATCTATTATATTATGTAATTTGAATGTTAAATGTATCGACTCAAGTTGATTCATAATTTAACAATAACTATCTTTTATTATTTTTTATAAATTTTTAATATAATTATTTATTAGTTTTAAAATTAGAATGACAATTTAATTTTCTTAAGTATTATAATATTTTTTATTAATGTTTTAATAGTTTGAAGGTTTAGTTTATTAGTTTCAAAAACTATGTAGATTTGGAAATTTTCAATTACTATTTTATAATAATGTTTTGTGAAATAATTAAGCAGATTATTATACTATAAAAAAAATTGAATTAATTACTTTGATTATACAATAAATATATAAAATAAATAAAAAATAAAGGATTCTTAAATAATTTTTTTTCTCTCAAATAAAACTAGATTAATAATTAAACTTAATTTATAATATATATATATATATATATATATATATATATATAAATTGAAACCAAAAAACAAATGTATATTCCTGCTCCCAAAACCATTTTACAAAAGAAATTTTGTCTAATAATCAAACATTTATTATACCAAATAAAATCATTTTTAAAATCTATTTCTAATTAATAATTTTATTGAGAACTTTTATTTCTTTCATGAAGTTAATAATTCTATATCGATACTAAAATAACACTTCACAATAAAACTATAAAATAATTTTAGAGGATTTGATGATCCCTTTCATAATCTTCTATTTATAGGAATAAATTGATACAAAAGTACATAATAAATAGAGTAACCCTAGATACAATATATAATCATGATAAATAGAGTAATCCTAAACACAATATAATCATGATAAATAGGGTAACTCTTGACACAATATGATCATGATAAATAGGGTAACCCTTGACATAATATAATGATGATAAAATAGAATAAATATCCTAACACTCCCCCTCAAGCTCGAGCATACAAATTGTATGTACCAAGCTTGGAACAAATAAACTCAATCCGAGGACCCCTTAATGACTTCGTCAATACATTTGCGAGTTGATCGTTTTTTGACCCAATAAACTCAGTACATATTTCTTTAGTCAACAACTTTTCACGAACAAAATGACAATCAATTTCTATATGTTTAGTCCTATCGTGAAACACTGGACTTGATGCAATGTGGAAAGCAGCTTGATTGTCGCAATACATCTTCATAGTATGGATGTCACAGAATTTAACACCCATATAAGTTCACATGTTAGTAATGTCATTGCCCTATACATTATGTTTCTTACTTTTTCATGAAATACTGTTTCCTCCAAAAAAAAACATAATATCCTGTAGGAGACCGTCTATCAATAGGTGAACTTGCCCAATCTGCATCACAATACCCAGAGACCTGAATGTTTCCTTTATCTTCATATAACAATCCTTGTCCGAGAGCCTTCTTTACATACCTTAGAATGCGAATGAGAGCATTCTAATGGTCAACACATGGAGCCTGCATGAACTGACTAACCACTCCAACTGCAAAGGATAGATTTGGCCTTGTTATATTGAGATAAATTAGTTTTCCAACCAGCCTCCTATACCTCTCTGGATCAGAGAATAATTCACCTTCTTTTGTCCTTAATTTCTGGTTTGGGTCCATGGGACTTCTACCGGTCTACAATCAATCATGCTTGTTTATTGTAATATATTAAGAGCATACTTCCTTTGGGAGATTACAACTCCATCTTTTGATTACACTACTTCAATGCCTAAGAAGTATTTGAGACTTCCAAGATCCTTGGTTTGAAAATGTCTACACAAGTACTCTTTTAGTTGAGATATTCCAACAACATCATTTTCTATAACGACAATATCATCAACATATACTATTAAGTAACACATTTCCCGAGAGAAGAATGACAGTAAAAAACTGAATGGTTTGCTTCACTACGTTTTAGCCCAAATTTTTGAACAATGGAGCTAAACTTTCCAAACCAAGCACGTGA